AACTGACCTGGGAACATCTGTAGAAGGCTTATCAGAGTTAGAAACCCACTCTTTTCTCCACACCCAACACAGAAATATTGCCCCATCTATCAGGAGGGAGGCTCGGCTATGGGCTCAGTTGGAAGCTGCTCTCTGCCTGCCCCCTGCTTCGCTTTCTAATGACTTTCCTTTGACATTAGCTGCACTCCACTGCCAGTGGGCCCCTTCGCCCACTGTGGGGGGACTGAGACGGGCATGCTGCCTTGGTTTTATGAAGTAGCAGCAGTGCCTTCTTGCCGTCACTGCGATATTAAGGTCAGTGCTTTCCCAGGGAAAACACAGTCTTTTAAGCCTTAAAAAAAAAGCATCCGATCCTCTTACAATAGCTTCTGCCACAACAGTAGACCTGGACTATTGATGGCAGAAGGAAAGGAATTGTGAAGAAAGCGATCGCAGGAAGATGGGTGGGAGAGATGACACGTTGCCCTTACAGGAAAAAGCACCATTGTCAACTTTAGCTACTTACAAAGCAACGGCGCCCTGTTCCCTCCTGTTCCCTCGGAGTGTTTGTCCTGCTTTATCGCCTGCACCCCATGTGGGCCTTTGTCTAGGCCAGTGAGTTTCAAGGGAGGGGAAAGTTTGTCACTCTGTGTGTATTTGGGTAATGGGAGGGCAGGGGAGCAGTGTGAGGAAAAGGTGGTATCAAAATAGGGCGGGGAACGTGGCAGATATAGAAAAAATATTTGATATTATAACAATTTTAATGGTAAAAAGTAAAATACAAGTTTTTCTTGTGCGATGGAAATCAGTAGCACAGATACTTTCTCAAATCGTCAGGTAGCAAGCCCCTTTAAGAGGCTTTATCACAATAAAGGTAAAAGTTATGTTATATGTTTATAAAAGGAGGTAAGAGGTAACAACAGATTGAGAAAAGCAGCTTTCTCTTTTTAAAAAAAAGTTTATTGATTTCATTGAGAGGAAGGGTGATTTCAGAGAGAGGAAGGGAGAGGGAGAGAGAGAAACATCAATGATGAGAGTCATTGATCGGCTGCCTCCCGCACACCCCCTGCTGGGGATCGAGCCCCCAACCCGGGCCTGTGCCCTGACCGGGAATCGAACCCCGATCGCCTGGATCCTAGGTCACCGCTCAACCGCTGAGCCACACCGGCCGGGTGTTAAATTCTTTACATTAACCTAATTTAATCTTCCCTCAGAATAATCCTATAAAAAACATTTTTATTATTGTCATTAGCAACTTACAAATCTGAAAACAGGCTCGGGGGAGTTGAGCCTCCTTCCCAAAGTCCAGCGGTTTCCATGCGGCCATGGCTGGGTTCGAATCCAGGCCTTCTTGACTTCAGATCACGGTCCCCTCTGCTCTGCCTCGCTGATCCCTGCTTTGCCAGGTTTATTACTGTTACTTCATAATGTTTCCATATAGTCTGGGGGAAGAATCGGGGCCTCCCTGCGCCACAGCACGACATGAATCGTGGCAGGAGCCCGGAGAGGGGGTTACTTTCCCTCGGCCCTTCCTCAGCCTGCGCGTCTCTCCTGTGGAGCGCATGGGAGCTATTGTCCTGAGTCACCAGTGCAGCTCTGTATGTGATGCAATGACCTGAGTTTGGGGAAATCCATCCTGTCCCTGCGCACTGCGTGGGGAACGTGTCCATGAGGACCAGAAAGCAAAGGAGTCGAGGGCAGGACCAGGAAATTGAAGCAATCGATGCAGTTGTTAAAAAGAACAGCCTTGGGGAGCAAGCGCTGTGGGGACTTGCGCCAGTGAGTGGCCTTGCTTTGACTGTGGTCCCACCGTCCAAAGATGGCACAGGACTTTGTGGCCGTAGGGGATGAATCATATCCTCTCCCCATCCCAAATTTCTCCTGAGGTTCCCCCTTGGAGACATTTCATGCCCCCATCTCCCCTCCACGCGTTGGTCTGTGCACTACTGGATGTGACCTGTGTGCCAGGCTCTGTGCACCGAATGCTGTCCTGGTGATTGATTGTCCATTTGCTATTGCATTGCTGGTGGGGAGATTAGACTGGGCGTTAATCTCTACAGGAATAAGCCTTTAAAGGTATTTATTGGAGCGTGTGCAGCTTTTGCCAGCTTCCTTTGGTTCACTGGCCTGCCACGTTTGGGCCACCATTGCTTGGGCTGCGTTTCCTCCAGCACGGCCAGTGACATCTTTCTTTTGGGAAAGCTTCATTTCCCTTGGCCAGAACTGATGTCACTTTCTCTTTTTTATGAATTTTCTGAATGAAAACTCTTTCCCTAATTTTTCTCAGCGTGATCATGAGACCACTGCTTCAAAATCACCCGCAATAGCTGGTGTTAAAGTGCAGATTCCCACAGCCCATCTCAAGTTTAAGAAACTGGAATCTCTAAAAAGTTGGTCTTTGGGATCTGCATTCTCATCACACTGATGTTAAAGAACCCGTGCTCTAAATGTTTCTCTTCCCCCATTCCGAACAGGTAACCTGACTCTTCTTCCATCTTATTGTTTTCTACTTCCAGAGCAGTTTAGTGTCTCCAGGAGATGCTTGAGGAGAGCTTTTATGTACCCAGGAATGAACTGCGAATCATTTAAGAGAAATACTCGGAAGCCATTAAGGTAATTAAAGCAAATGTATATCATCCAGGCCCTGAGGAGTGCAAGGGCAGTTAGGAGGAGCATTTGTGGACAGTGCCTCTCGTATAGACAGGGAGACCCCGTAACTAGATCTGAATGCCAGCCTCTAACCCATTCACTAGCAGCACTCTTCTCATTTCCACTCAGGCCCACAGGCTTGTCAGTGGGGCGGCTTTCTACATCCCAGTTCATCAGCTCTGCTGGAATGTGGGGACACTTTTACCTACAAAATAAACTTACAAACACCTGGCCCTAAAGGCAGAGTTGGGAAAGGGAAATGGATTTCAGTTTCCAAGTGTAATGGCTCAAGGTTGCTAGCGTCCACTTAGGATGCAGGATACTGTTATATTGGAGTACACCCCCGGCTCTCAAGGTCATGTGCAAAGCATGGCTAATGCGATGCTAAGAAAGAGTAATCTCATAAGGGAGAGTTTCCAAGCTGTAGACGTGCCATGAAGATGTTTAATGCAGTTTGTATACTTAAGAATCATCGCTCACTTTTACTTGAAGTTACTGACACTGAAAATATCTAGTGCTGGATAAACCGACAGAAGTCCAAATATTAATTAAATTAGAAAAATAAAAAAGCAATTGCCCTAATGAATCACTTTGTTTATCTCAGGTAGCCATATTATTTATAGTTCACACTGGGGAGATTTTGAGAATGGAAAGCCAGGACATTAGGCATAAGCTGATATGTAAGCAAACCTTATTTACATGCCATTTAGCCTTAGCAGGCAAGTTCTGACATACAGTCTCCTTTCCCAGTCGGAGTGTTTGGATACAGAAACACAAAAAGATTTGGGGAGGAGATAAATAGAAAATCAGTCTTTTTTCTTCTTTGTTCTGAATAATGAGACTTTTTGTCAAAAGTAAACACTGGATTCTTAGGATATATGTGCGCCCCTATGTTCATACCTGCGATATTTACAATACCCATGATCTGGAAATAGCCCAAGTGCCCATGAGCAGTTGAATGGACAAAAAAGCTGTGGTACATTTATGCAGTGGAATACTACACAGCTGTGAAAAAGAAGGATCTCTTACCATTTGGGACAGCATGGATGAAGCTGGAGATTATTATGCTAAATGAAATAAACCCTTCAGAGAAATACAAATACCATATGATCTCACTCATATGTGGAATCTAATGAGCAAAATAAACTGATGAACAAAACAGAACCAGAGGCATGGAGCACTGGAACAGACTGAGGGATGCCAGAGGGGAGAGGTTTGGGAAGGACCAGATGAAAGAAAGTAGAGAGATTAGCCAAAGAATATATATATATATATATATATAGCCATGGACACAGACAGCAGTGTGGTAGAAGACAAGGGAGAAGAGGAGGTGGGACGAGGGGGGGAAGTGGGGGCATCTGTAATAGTGTCAACAATAAAAATAAATTAAAAATTTAATTAAATTTTAAAAAGAGCACACTAGGAATATGATTACAGGCGACTGGATGACCCTCCACTATGGCAACAGTCAGCATTTTTCAGCCTACCACAAGCAAGTAAAAAGTTATGAACATTACTCTATTTGAGACCAGCTGTTAAGTTCCATTAAAAAAAAATAACCTTAGAATGCATATGGGCCATTTCACGCTCCAGTTTGGCTTTAGGATTTGGGGGATTTGAAGCCCAATTAATCTCAGGGAAATCCTTTACCCTTCAATTCTTTTCCTCTATCATTTCAGACACACCATCACGCACTCCAAAATGTTTTCAAAGGCACAAGAGCTTATGCACACATGTGCACTTGCACGCGCACACACGCATACTGTGTAAGACTAGCGACCAAAGTCAGCCTGATGGGGATATCAGGACCTAGCGACAGAAGTGTGGCCCAGTGTCGGAGTCCAGCATGGAGGGACATCATTCCGTTTCCCCTCTTCTGCAGTGTGCCAGCTGCTCAGTGGGAGAATCTGTATCCCTGAGGGAACGCGGGGAAGAACGTCATTGGATCATCTCCTTCGTTTAGCCTGTTCCTCCCTCTCTGTTGCCTTCCCTACGTCCTTGCTGCTGGAGCAGATCTTCAGCTTCCAGCAAACTGACTTTCAAGTTTCCGGTGAGTGAGTGCTGGCCTTCCTGGCATGGAGAAGATAGAGCTGAAGTGGTTATTTTATGCAAATGCAGGGTTGAAGGGTCCGATTTAGAGCCCCAATACTGCATAGTAAAAATCATTGTCAGCTCCTTTGACTTCCATGGGTCTCGGGGACCCATCAGCCTCTGTATCCCCAGTCCATGTGAAGGCTGCCCAGGATTTAGCTGCTGTTTGTCGAGGATCATGTTGAGAAGTTGATAGTGAACTTTGAGGAGTTGATGTGCAAAGAGTATTTAATATTGATTTCCTGTCTGGACCATTGGTCCCGGGGGCTTAGACTGCTTCAAGGATATGAAAGAAGATATTGCAGATATTTTTGAACACCTTTCTCTCCCAGGGTCCTCTCTAGGGAGTAGCCTAAGGTCAAAAGGTGATCAGGGTATCACTTTTTTTGTATTTTTAAACAATTTTTATTCTGTTTTATTTTTTAAATTAAATTTATTGGGGTGACATTGGTTAATAAGACTATGTAGGTTTTAAGTGTGTGTAGATTGCTATGATATAGGACATGTATATTGCATTGTGTGCCTACCACCCGAAGTCAAATAATCTTCCTTCACCATATATTTGGCTCCCTTTACCCTTTATTATCCCCCCACCCCCTTCCCTCCAGTAACCACCATACTGTTGTGTGTATCTATGAGTTTCAGTGTTATGTCCCCGCTATGAGTGAAATCATATGGTTCTTAGCTTTTTCTGGCTGACTTGTTTCGCTTAGCGTGATACTCTCAAGATCCGGCCATGTTGTCTCAAGTGGCAGTGTTTCATCTCTCTGGTGGCTGAGCCCTGGTCCACTGTAGGTATGCACCACATCTTCTTTGTCCAAATTGTCTGTCAAGGGGCACCTTGGTCACTGTGAATAATGCTGCAGTGAACATGGTGCCTGTATGGCTGCTCTGTGGAATTAATTCCTTGAAGTGGGGCAATGACTTAGTTACCACTGTGTTTCTAATCCCACCAATAGCCTGACATCTGAAGGTGTCCAACAATGTTCGTTGAATTGAGAGTCAAGACATTTAAAAGTGGTTTGTCTGTTGCAAACCAGCATAGTGCTAGATCCCACAGTGTTTTCATAGACAGCGTGTATAAATCCCTCACGATAAATTCATTCTTTAAATTAACAAAATATAAATATCAAATGCCTATTATTTTTCAGGTATTAAGGAAATAATAGGGATTTTAATGATTTTGATTTGGAGAGCTGGAACACATGTAATATAGGTGTCACATCATATTCTGGGCAGGGACAGTTTTATTTTGTCATTGACTAAGCCCCTGCTTTACACTCACACAGCAATCTCCACTAAAATGAGCAAAACTCCAAGAGCAAATCTGTGATACTTTACTCTAGATCTGTCCCTTTCTAGATCCCCAACACACTCTTCCATAATAGCTCTGATGTCTCCCCATACCTCCCACCGCAGTACAACAGGAGGGGACTCATCTCCCTGCTCTGGGTGAGGGACATAAGATCAAGGAAGACTTTCTGAAGGAGGCTGAACTTAAGCTGGGCCTTAAGGGATAGATAGAAATGAAAGGAAGAAATAAGCCAGAAAGAAATATTTGTGATAGCAAAGATACAAAGAGTGTAGGGATGTGGTTACCAACTTTACTTTGAGCTGTGATTAACTGTTGTGGTCTGGGTTCTTGACACCCTCTGTATCTCCAGAGATTTTGATTAAGAAAAGGCTTTTTTTTTTTTTTTAAATCATCACAAATTTCTTCTACACACTTGATCAACTTTCAGTTTTCCATTTCAATGATGTTCTCCATGCTCATTTGCTAACAACAGACGATCCATTTCCTTCCCCCCTCCCTGACCAAGCCAGACCCAGTAATGACACAGCACAATCCTCATCTCTTTCCAAAAGCTCTTTTTGACTGAAGCTGCTAGATGTCTCCCCCCCACTGTGCTGAACTATGATCTAAAGCACTGCTTTCCAAGCGTTTGGAGACGGGTCGTAACAGCTTATTTTAGACAATGAAAGTTACAGGTTGAGGAAAACCCCAAATCTTCTTTGAATTTCTCATACTGTTTTGCACAGTGCCTTATACATAGTACATGCTCAGGAAATGTTTATGAAATGAATTTGGCTTCACGTAGCAGGCTGACCTTAACGAATTCTTCCCTCTTGGCTGGAATGGGGAGTTTTGTGTCCTGAGTACATGTGCGATCATAAGAATTTCAATAATAGAAATTGAGCATGATCTAAAGAAAAGGAATGAATGAAAACAGACTATCTTACAGATATTCTGGCTTGCGTCTTGGCCTGCATCGTTTATGATGGATTTAGAACCTTTTATGAGAGGCTTCCTGGCAAGGAGAAACCATCCATCTCTATAGCAGTGACTTCCCCATTTTCCCTATTAGAGTTGTTAAAGCCAGAAAGCTATGCCAAGTATGTAGGCGTGTGTGTGTGTGTGTGCGCAGCTGCTCGTCTTTGCATATTGAAAGCATTACTAAGGTGCCCTGTTTATGTTCTATTGCACTAGAATTTCTTGCATCTTTAATGAAATTCACAACCAGGAACTCATGTCTTCCATTTTATTATTTTGTTGGATAGCATCTTTCAGGGTGAGAGAAATGCCTTTGTCTTTTTCTGAAATTCTTTACTTTGGGGCAGAGGGTAGATGGTCATCGAAGGAAAAGAAAGACTCTGAATCAGAGCTCCCAACTACCGTAAGGGAAATATGTGGTGACCCTTTTAATTTTTTAATTAGGACCAGAATCCTGAACACCTTTTATGTTATTCTGTTCTTGAATCACCATCTCAGTAGAAGCTTGAAGTTGTTCTTAGGATCAAGGGCAGGTCTCATCCACCAATGTCAAAGCTTCTATGCATTGTTCTGGCTCCAGGGAAGCCTCCGACTATCTGGTTTCCCTCCCCTTTTAGGCACATGTGAAGATTGTCTTTAGCAATCTTATGTGAGCAGCTGTTACATGCATCACTTCAGCATGGTTGTGTTTAGTTGTTGGCATTCGACTCTCCAACCTTCTTTTCCAGCCGCTGACAAGATCGTGCAGGCAGGTGTTGCTGTGGAAGTCTAATAAGCCATCACATGGAAAACAGCCACCCCGGAGAGTTACCTGAACCAATAGCACCTTTTGCATGTGCAAAAATATAAGTAAACCTGTGTTGTTGGAAGCAACTGAGCATTAAGGATGATTTGTTATTTCAGCATAGAGTATCCTATCCCACTCTAAGGACCAAATAAATATTATTTTTGCCCTTGTGGGGATCACTTGCAGCCAAAGAAACATGTTATTTCTCTCTTTTGTCTGCACTAGTTCACTTATTTATTCCCTAAACGGTATGAATTGTGAATGGTCAACACAGTGCCATCTTCTTAATACATTAATTACATCCTGCACTTAAATGAAAAATTTCCCTGCTGAGCTGTGCTCCTGAAGTGAGGTAGAAGGTCAAATTTCTCTGCCCTCATTTCTTCCATGTCTGGCATATAGCAGGTACCCAAGAAATATTTACTCAACTTGATGTACTATGAGAATATCCTATTCTAAGAAATTTGGCTCTATTGGACCAGGTTGATCCTTGGAAAAACGGTAGCACCAGGGAAATCTGTAACACTGCAGCCTCTCCTCCCCTATTTCCAAATAATCCTCTCCCTCTCTGCCTTCACCCAATATTCATAATCGTATACTGTCCAGAGTTCCTCTGGTCAGAAAAGTCGGTTGATAAATGCAATAACAGTAAGGGAGAAATGAGTTGATGTCCTACCTTTCTAGAGAGAGTCGCATTCTGTTGAGGCAGAGCCGTGGTTCTCAAAGTGTGCTGCCTGGCTGGGACAGGATCTGAAAACTTGCCAGAAATCCAAGTTTTGGGGCTCTGCCACAGACCTGCGAAATCCGAAAATCCCAAAGTAGAGCCCAGTGATCTTTTTTTTAAAGTTTAATGTTTTAATAAAGCAATTTGTGGTTCATCAAGCCCTCCAGGTGACACCGTGATACTGATATAGTCAAGCTGGAGAACTTTAAATGAAGTTAGGATTATTTATTGTAGAACTTCATGCACTATGGTATGTGAATGTTATGGGCAATCAATTCGTGTCCGGGGACTTCTCGGTCCCCCTCACGGTATCACCGCTGTGAGCAGGAACCTGCCTGTGCGACCCGCATGCTTGGTCAGATTCTGAGGGCAAGTCAAGGCCTGGCTCTCCGTGCAAAGTCCAATTCAGGGCATGCTTCCCATACCTCTCCTTTGCCAGTGTTTTGGAAATAAATTTTGCAGTACCTTTGTAACCCTTTAGGAGTTACAAAATATAGAAATATAAAGGAATGTTTATATCCCAATAATAATAAAATGATATTAATTCTCAAAAATAAGGAGCGAGCGTCGTATACGTTTTCTAGGACTGGACAAGTCATTTGAAATTGAATTACCACATCCTGTGCCGAGCGCTCCCCAGCCCACATGCTTCACTCAGCCCACAGATCAGCAGCAGAAGGTAAATTAAAGTGAAAAAGAAACGTCTTAAAGTTCTAGGGACTAAATGTAGCTGACGTGCCCCTTAGCCTCCGGTTAAATTATTCCAGTGGCCAAGCACTATCATAGTATAGGTGCGCAGCCTGCAATGACACAGAACAATGCTGTATGTATTTATCTCCCTCTCAAATACTTCAAAATTTACCATTTATAATTTCAGACGCCTTTCAGCAATCTGCACATCTCTAAATATAAGTAAAATATCATCAGGGAAAGGCCCCGTGGAGACTTTGAACTGGATCATTTAAAGGGCCCGATGCCAAAAGCCTTTGTCATGCTAAGAGGAACGCAGCAGCGACATCCAGGCACAGGAGCGGGCACAGGGCGACCCTTTGATGGCTGGTTTACTTTGATTCGTGTGGGAAAATGCAAGACGCTTC